AACTCTGCTCTTGATGCTTGTAGAACAGGGCAGTAACAGTAGGTCCAGAAGACAATGCTTATTGTAAATCCATTTCCCAGTCACCATCACCCTGACTGTGGAATCTTGACTTAGCTGCAGCGAGGGAGTGGTTGGTTGGGCAATAGCCTCTTCCATGTCCTTGGACATGTGTGGTTGGAAAAAATAAAAGAAGCTGCCAGCCTAGAAGGTGTATTCCATTTCTGGAGCTATCCTTGGAGACTAGACAAGGAAGACAAAGAATAAGTAATAACCAGCTCCCTGCCAGTAATCAGTTGAGCAGAGATGCAGACTTCAAAAGAGCTATGTGCATTATGTTGCTGTAGTAAGAGATGGAGTTAAGAGAACTGGAAGTCCTATACGGTTTATTCTCCAATGTTATAGAAGAGCTGTGTAGCATGCACCATGTGTCATATGTACCCGTTAATAGAAGTGAGTGGCTTGTTTTAGCAGGCTTTGGCTTGAGGTTAGTTCAAATGTCTAATGTAGATAAAAGCTCCTTTCTTTTGCTGAGATCCCTTTTTTTCCTTCCTCTCTAGTCTGTGATAACATGGAGAGGTACAACTCGGCCAGTCCTTTCCTCTGCATGGATCTCACTTACATCACTGCTTTACTAAAGGAAGGTTTTGGATTTAAGGACAACACACTCTTACAGGTGAGAAAAACAGTTAAAACCCAAAGCCAGCTTCCAAATATTTCTTATCAATTAACATGCATTAGTTCAATTTTCTGGCTACTTATCTACTGAGTTTTTTCCAGAGCCATTATATGTAGTTGCTGTCATCTGTGCAATGTGTGAATCTAGAGAACTGTCAGGAACAACTGATTTTTCTTCCCTTATAGTTAACAAAGAAAGTGAACAACATAGAGACAAGCTGGACTTTGGGTGCTACCTTTCACCTACTGCAGTCTCTGGGGATAACTTACTGAGCTGTGACATTCTTGTGGACTTCAGCATTTCTGAAAGGCTGAGAAAGCAAATTGAAATCTCCAGGTACGTTGTTCAGCTGGAGTTGGTCACAGAGCAGAACATGGACCAAAGCTATAGAACAGATCTTCACCCCGGATTGGCATCGTGCATAATGAGAGTTGCCACAGGATGATTAATAACTGTGATTGCCATAAATGATCCAGAAACTGCCTTCTGAAAGTCAAAAGGCCTAAACCCCAGCAGAATGTCTGCAAGGGGCTCAAAGCCAGCTTTCACCAGCATGTTTGTGTAGCATCCCATTGCTAGAGAAGCACAGAGTACCTGGCACATGGTGGCAGACTACAGACACGTGACTTCCCCTCCCCCTTTTATTTTAAACAAACATAACTTAAGTTTGCTTGTGAGATGTTAAATACAGAAATTAAAGATGGCATCAACAGTCATCCAAAGTGAACAACTCTGGATGCGGCCAGCCTCAGCGTTCCAACTACCCAGCTGTTAGCTTAGCTAATACATTGCAAGGAGACTCCAGTCTTTCAAGAAGGGGCCTGCTATAAGCACACTTTGGGCATGGTTTTGGGAAAGGTGTTGGCTAGAACATAGGTTGAAACTTAGCAAGCATTTCTTTAGGCAGCAGTCATTTCCTAAGCACAATGCGTGCCTGACTGTTTTCATGTTGCTGCCCTTTACAAGTCTGTGCAGCTATACCATACATCTGGCTACCAAACCCGATAACTTGATTGATTTAGCATGTAGTCATAACACACAGTTGTGCTGGCACAACTAGGCAGCAGTGCCAGCTATTTAAACTCCACTGCCAGAAGAAATGCTTGTCACATTACACCCACCAGGACATTAAGGGTGCAGTCAATGAAATGGCTGATCTGCCAGCTCACTTTGCTGTGAGAGGCAGTTCTTTCTCTGCTCTCAGAACGGCGTTCCCACAGCCTTCTTTCCTCTGAGGCTGGTGCTCCTCAGGTTCTTTGTTGAACCAATTCACCACACCAAACCTGAGTTAAATCAGCTCACCAAAGAGTTGAGTCTCATGCTAGCAGAAGGGAAATAAGCATTGCACAGCCCGGGAGACCTGCTGGGCCAGTGAGCTGTTAGAACAGCACAGCCCATTTTGTCAGTGAACTCTAAGGTGTGGTTTCCCATCTGAAAGCTCAGGCTTATCGCTTCCTGCGCTCTCCTTAGGAACCTCCTCTGAATGCAGAGCTGTAGTGAAACAAGTTGTTTTTTCAGTTGTTTAATAGAGGAAAGTAGGGAGAGAGTGGAATTAGCATCAGAACAGAGGGAGAACAAGAGCATAAGTAGCTTTGCTTTCTTATCCCTTCCTTGCTTATCCCTTGTCCATTTTATATTGTTTCAAACTTCATTTCTCTTTAATATAGTGGAGTTGGACCCATAAAATGGTGCATTGCTCTAGAATTATTTTTAATATATGTCAGGTCTTTAGGAACAGTGCATCCAGTGAAGGGGTTGCACCTGTTTAGGATGCACAAGATTTCTGTCAGGATAGCATGAAGCTATTTGAGTAACAAAGTGAATCTTGCCATCTCTTTCACACCAAACACAAAGAAGCTATGAAAGATCAATATTTTAAATAAAGCATCTTGTCAGATAGGCTAGAAATCTGGGCTGTAGGATCCCGGTTTTCTTGTTTAATTGGCTGTAGAGAACATCGGGATTGCTTGAATACCTTGAGGCTCCAAGTGCAGACCTTGCGTTGTCCTAAGTAGAAACAGCTGTAGAGACAACTTTTTCCACCCCATGAAATAGCTGGCAGCTAGCTCGTCTGATCTCTTGTGATGAACACGTCCCTGTCAGGCATTTGCACTTACTTACCCAATTGCTACAACACACCTTTCCCACTTCTGTAAAACCAAAGCCGGCCTTCACGCTACCGTCTCTGCAAACTGGATTTGAAAATAATGTAATTCCCAGCAAGGGGAGGAAGTAGCGCGCTCACGCTCTCACCGGTCTTGCCAAGCAGTCTGGAGATTTGAACTTGGCCTTACTGTGAACATTAGTCCACTTCCTCTAGTAGCAGCGCAAGTTTGAGTGCAGCTGATCAGGCTACCCCCCCCTTCTCATACCTTGGGCTGTGCAGTGCTAGGGTGCAAGGTGTGCTTCTGCTTGAACAAGTTCAGTCAGCAACAGGAGTCCAAGGGTTGGGGATGGAGCTACCTGAATTCGTCCCACCACTGACACCTTGCTGTAAATTCATGCTGTTTGTTTGAAATACGAAGTGCTTGTCCTACTTGTACCCCTCCTTACCAGAATCTGTTTTGTGATCCATGCTGGAAAATTCCTCAGTGTCACACCAAACTTTGTTCCTTCCTCAGTAGGAGCTTCTGTTGGAACATGAAGTAGTTGTAGAGGCAGCCTGGAGGCTGGCCTTTCCTCAACCACAAACATTTCTTACTCCCCTTCCTAGTGTTTGGCCTAGTACATGGTCTGGTCTGCACAACAAGGTGACTGCAAACACATTCATTTTGTCTTCAGTGAGCAATTGTATTCACTTTTGTATTCTGAGAACACAAAGGAGGATGCAATGGTTACTAGCCAGGCTGTGTTACTCCTGAGAACTAGCAACTTTAATAATCCAGAAGTCTTCTTTCAGTTTGAGCCAGTGCTGTGACAGACTCTTAGTAGATGTTGGGGCCAAGAGCCGTCAGCAGTGAGGCTGTATTTGAAACAGGCAGGGAAGGTGGGATGTTACACATAATGAACAAGCAGCAGCAGCAGCGTATCTGCCAACTGAACAGACGCTAGCCTGAGGAGTACCTAGGGGTTTGTTCTCTTCTGAAGGGAGGATGGTCTAGAAGAAGACAGCTACCAAATGGAGGAAGTTTATTTTCTGTGTTCTTTGCCTCAGACTCTGGTACTCCAAATGCTAGGCGGGAGCATCGGCTTCCCAGTACCAAAGTTGCATTGAATCTGAATGCTCAGGGCCTTCGTCAGTGGCACAGTTCACTAACTGAAGCAAAACTGCTGCTCTCTATCAGGGGCCTGATCCTGCAGTCAGGAGAGAAACACAAACTCATCTCAAAGGTTTCTTTTGCAAGAAATTGCAGAATTGAGCCCCTGCTGTTTACATCTGAACTAATCAAGGTGGGTGGGGGATCTAGCGAAGCCAGTCAAGTCCTCTCACTTACCCTAGTGCAAAGAGATTATTTATTAGCTTAACTAAACACTATGCAGCCTTTTAAGAGAAGAGTTCTACTTGCAGCTGTGATTTTTGTCTCCTCCTTCATTATGTCTTTTAGCCAGTCACTTAACAGGAACTGCCTAATACACATGACTGAAGAAGCACAAGTAATGGGTTTCAGTTGAAAACTTATGTTTCGTTCTTTCTGATGTTAATTCCTGACACTGGTCAACCTTAAGTGTAAATCTTGCCCATGGGCAATGCTCACTTAATGTTGCGAGTGGCAACTGTCTAATGCAGGAGGCTGGTGTTTGGAACCTAAGACAGAATATCCTGAATGTCTATTTTAGTAATTAAAGCATTTTTAACAATATTCAAGACGTTGTGGTACAGTTTTCTTTCCTAGATATTATTGTTGTCTTGCATCTCTTTTTTCATGGAGCCCTTAAGACTAGTCACTTCCACAAGAAAAAAACATCCTTAAATAAAGCACCAAGCGAAGAAGAGCGTGGAAAAGCGTGGAAGAGACAGATTAGACCTTTAAAACCTATCTGCCATCATGAACTGGCTGTCGTCCTCTGCTGAAAACTATCCCTCCTTTGAGTCCAGGAGGTGCTAAGAACCTGGGAATGAAATTACAGCTCTCAAAATTGCGTCAGAAGAAACTGTAAGTAATTAAGCAGCAAAAGTTGTAACTGGCAAAATCCATCACTGTGTTTGCCAGAAGACAGACAGCTGTTTCCAGCTCGGAGTTCAATTCAAAAGGCCCAAATTAAAAGCACGGTGTACAGATAGTTCTGTGGCTGAAGACATCATGGAAGATGATGTCTTCAGGAAGAGACCCTAAATCTTCTTGAGGAGAGCAGATGAGACAAAACTTTTGCATAAACCAGTGGATGATGTAATACACAGCTCAATCCCTCAGTTTTATTGTCAAATTAAAATAACACAATTCAAAAATTGAAGTCAGTCCCAGTCCTTATAAGGGCAGTGCATTCACTGGCAAGCAGCCGTTCCAAGCTGACAACAGATCACTTGCTGGCAAAAGCCACGATTTGCTCCTAAAAGGGAGAAGAAAAGATAAGTAATGGGAAACTGGTAATAAGCATATGTTCTAGAAAGCAGCTCTACTCTCCTTACCTTCTATACATATGGACAACAGTTCTTAGTCAGCCTTGCTAGCCAGCTGCAGCGCACTGATCCCTGTACACTAGAAAATTAAAGAAGCTGCAGCATTCCTTTCCCTCCCAAGTAGCACAAAATAGAGCTGTTCCCAACAGGTTCTGTGCTCTGAAAAGGTCTTAAGTTTTGTGCTTTAAACAGAGAAACAGGAAAAAAAAGACACCTTGTCAGTGGCAGCTACTGTGCCTTAGGAATTTACTGCTCTTCAACTCGGGTAGTGTCTTAACTGTGACCAGAACACAAAGGAAACAGGTCACCTGTGTTTAACAGGAAGAAGGTGACTTGATTTGTGGAATAAAACATTCAAATCCTGAAATGAGGAGTCTAATTTGAGGGTGCTTGGGAGCTTTGAGAGCAGGTGCCTTAAGGAATCTCATGAAAATCCAGCAACTAGGTCAAGACAGTATGGAATTTAGAAGGACAGGCTGCAAATAGAGGGTCTGTGATTAAGACTGAACCCCCTTGCCAGTGCTTTCCTCACGTAACTTCCATTTGAGACTTGCACTTCTGCCAGCAGGGAACAATTTAGCAAGACAGAACAGTACAGAAACAGAGAGCCATTTGAGCTGCACACCGCATCTGTGAGGTCACCTGATGTCTTATTCTTAGTGAAGATGTGTTTTTATAGGGCTGGTTTTTCGTAGTGCGTTTCTGGAATGCAGTTAAAGGTTCCACATTTTCATTCCATAGCAAAATAAAGGCAAAGACTTCTCATGATTCTAACCATTAACTACTGATAGAGAGTTTACACTTAGAACCTCATCTTCCCTTGTGCTGCAGGAGAAACCAGCTACTACTGAGCCATCAGTTATTTAGAAACTCCTCAGGCTCAGTCAGGACACAAAATCTCAGTCTGAACAAGTAGCATTTTCCAACCAAAAATGTTTCACTTCAAAGAAAAAAAAATCTTCACAGCCTGTGTATGTTTCGAGAGTAGCTCTGGGCCCTTCCTATGGCCCTCACTAAAGGGAGATTCTTACTTTGACAGGAGGCAGGGCATTTGTTGCTTGTAATCCCCATGTCCTCAGCAACACCAAGGGAGCCAGCCGCGTGGAGTAAAGCCTCTTTAGCACATCGATGGCAGCTATCAAGGAGACATTGTGCCTCTGACGTTCTGTCTCAAACTTTAAGAGATGTTTTAAGGAGCCTGGAAGAGATAATGAATAATTCTATTAAAACCAACTTGCCACAAACAATTGTGCATCTTACCTATATAGCAGGCTCCACTACCAACAGAAAAAGAAAGAGAACATATTATAATAGAGGCCTCCTTCCATCAGCTAGAGGTCTTCATCTCACCACGTCTTTAACTACCATCCTGCAGAACAGTTTGTTTTGTTTTTTAAAAGCAGCTTTTGAGATTTGTGGGATGGAAACTGCATCCAAGAATCTTTTAACTGTTCCACGGCCAATGGACATAAGGACAGTTTTGCTTCAAAGGCGCTTGTGCTTTTCAGACACAAGATACCAGCACGCTTAACCTCCAACAGAGGTAATGCTCGTCCTGATGTTGGCAGCAGAGGCCTGTAAGACTCATCATCTTCCTGCCACTTCCCTGTCTTGGGCCCTTACCCAGATCGCTCCCGTTGAAGGCTGCTGCACTGAGGTGATGAGCTAAACATGCAATATCGCCAAAGCCCAGGTTTACACCTTGTCCTGCAAGTGGGTGGACTCTGTGCGCTGCATCCCTGGAGCAAGAGAAGACAGAAATTTGTATCACAGAAAGGTAGGGGTTGGAAGGGACCTCAGGAGATCATCTAGTCCTGCATGCTGTGCTGAGCTACCTGACTGCCTTCCCAGTTGTAAGAAGCAAGGCAAAGGGGATGTAACAAAAAGTAGTTCTGAAAGGAAAAAATCATAAAAAGGTGGCTAGCCAAAGTCCCCCCTCACTCAGATCATGTGTGGAACTGGCCTTAGCATTTTTGTAAGTGACCTTGGCACAAGAGGAGGAATATCACTGGCACAGTTCACAAACACAGAGTAGAAGACATCAGCAATACAAAAGAGAAGTGGGGTATCACTGAATAAAAACAAAATCACGTTCTTCTAAGAGCAGACGTATCTGTAAAGGACATAGCCAGACAAATTGACAAGGGAGTTTTCGAGAACTGAAGTGAAGCTTGGCTATGAAATGTAAGATCAGGCCCTTCAACAAGCTAAAGAGCACACGGTGCTCCCAAGCACAAAGCAGCTCACAAGTTGGAAAGATGAAAAGGACCTGAAGTGTAGTAAGGCCTCCAAGAATTACTGTAAGCTACCAGTGTACTGCAGCTGTGGCAGAGAAAAAAAGTCCATGTCACCTTAGAATGGAAAAGATGAGACATTTTCCTGTTTCTACAGACCACTGTACAAAAGCCTATGACATCCCATCTGGAATAATTTGAAAGTTTTGTCATTTGTGTCCAAGCAAGGTGAGTTCCAAACTCCAACTGGTACACAGAGTGGCTGCGACAATGTTTGGGGAAGTACAGATCCAGCATGAGATACTGCATTGTTTCGCTGGACTACACAAACCTGAAAAGGGAAATAACTGTCTCACAATTTACATATTAAGCACACACAATAGACAGAGAGCTACTCATACAAAAGGACTTTGTTGGCACAAGAGCACATGGTACAAACTGGGCCTGGATAAAATTCAAACTGGAACTATCCGTTGTTTCTAACTATCTAATTTGTTGCCTGGGAGTCGCTATTTCTGACCACACAGCACCCGCTCCCAGAAGGGCTGCTGCTGGGGACCTTACCCGATCAGAGCCACGCGGTGCTGGACATACTCTGTGGCATGCCCCATGCCGAGGGGGAACATGGCTCGGCTCTCTGGATCTACTTTAGCAACGCTGGGGGGCAGCTGGCGGACCGCAGACCCTGAGGGTTTCAGGAAGGAAATGGCAGATCGAAACACGGCCCCAGCAGTATTGATGAAGTCAGAGTGGTTTACATTGCTCCACTGAAAAAACAAACAAATCTTCAGATGTTAACCCAAACTAGACATAAAGAATCCAGTTGAATAAAATCTGAATGAGCTCCAAATACTGAATTTTAGCCACTTGGACAAAGTTATACAGTAGAAGAAACTATCTTCATTGTTTTAGGACATACAAGTTTCCAACTAGGATAAGCCTACCCTTCCCACCTTTTGGAAATTTACTTCACCTTCTGTGACTTTCAGAACTAGCCTAGTTCAGTCCCAAGGGGTCATACGTTCTTTGCTAAGTGCCTTTTTCATATCATCCTCACCCGAGGAAGGAACTTGAGAATCCACCTCTCCCATTACTATCCTTTAAGCTGCATGGTTCCATCATATTCCTCATTATTACAACAAAGCCTCACACCTGCCACAAGGCTGATACTCACAAAGGCAGAGTTGACACTATCCACAAAACTTTCCTCATCCATAGTGAGAAGTTCCAATGCATGTTGATGAGATGTAGACCAGACCAGGGAGCTGGCGGTGTCAGACAGCTGGTTTAAGATAATGTCAAGGGTAAGTATCAAGAGAAAAAGAAGCAAAAATAAACAGTCAGTGCAAAGAGTTCCCCCCTGCCCTGCCCCACACCAGTCTCTCTGCACACAACTCTTCCAGCCCAACTTACTGCAAGTGGAGTGGAAAATAGCAAGGGTAAGGTGAGAGGGCAGGAGGGGAAAACAAATGCAGTAAGTGAAAAGTAAAGGGCAGATGGACAAATTCTTAAGAGACAGAACCAACACAGGAAGGCACAGACAGAAATAAAGCTACTAGAAAAGAATAGAATAAAAAACTTAAAAAAATAAAATATACAGAGACCACGAGTCGTCTCACCGGAAGAAGTGCAATTGGCCCTGTGGGAAGGAACCTCTGCCATGCTACGTTATTGTCTGTGGCCTACAGCGGAAAGAAGCAAGTGGACAGTTACAAACTAGTGACCTGGATCACCTGCTGAAGCTGTTCTGCAGCTTGTGGAAGAGTTAATTAACAGAACATCACCTCAGACAAATGAAGAGTTGCCACGAGAGCTGACTGGTCGTACCGATGCTCAATGTTATTAATTTCAGCTTCCTTCCGGACTACAGAGTTATGACCGTCCGCACCAATCTGCAAAACAAACAGATACAGAGCAACCTCTTCAGCAGCCCCTGAGCAAGCCAATGTTCCAGCTACAAACCCCAGGCTGCATGTACACGTTTTTTGTTTATTCAGAAAAAAAAAAAGTCCCCAAAAACCAGAAGAGGTGGCCCCTTGTGTTCTTGTCCAATTCAGCACAGTGTTCCTGCATCAGGTACAGAGAAGGCTATGCACCATGTCCCACAGCATCTCTGACAGAGTTAGCCACTCACCTCACTCAAGCCCTCCACATGGGTGGAGCGGCACACACGGAATCAGAACCAAATCCAGTGGAAAGGACTTGGGTGAGAGATGACGCCTGATCAACAGAAATAAAAAGTTTAGTTACCAGCAGTTTGGTCTGAAGTCTGCGTCCATCAGCTAACTCAATTTGCACCCAAGGGCTTGTGTCACGGCTGTGAGAGGGAAGGGGCCAGGTATACCCCACTGCTCTGCTCCCGTAGAAAACCTCCACCCGGTCTGATGGGAACACAAAGTACCGTGGTCACAGCAGGATACAGGCATGAAAAAAGGAAACATCACCACAACAGTAAGGGCCATGCATGTCTTAATGGCACCCTAAGAGCTGACCCCACAATTCTCAAGACACCCTGAAAGAACAGATCTGGCCAACCCTTTGTCACTGCAAGGCCCACTCTGGACAGAAAGCTACTCATCTTTGAGTATTTTTGGAGAGAACATGTTCTGGAGAACTACATCTGCAACTGCTTTCTTGCTGTGTAGCCTTCGGAAGACAGATTTCTCCCTCCTCTCTCAGTTCAAGAGGCTGCCTGTGTCTCAGAGTTACTTGTTGAATTCTCTTTCTCCCTCTTACAACAGCGCACACAACAGAAGGCAAGTAACTAAAAACTCTTTGCAAGAAATAAAATATTAAAGAAGTTGTCCACTACCTGCTACTGCATCTAACTGTTTTGTGAGAGCAGACATAATGACATCATTCTCCACTATGTAACCCATGTCATCTAAGTCATCTTTCTCAAAAACGATCATGGCTTCAGAACAAGCATCCCACACCTACAAAGAAAAAATACATTACGTAAAGCTACATGACAAAGAAGTGCTGTTCCCTTCAGGGACTGTGAATACATCTAAGCAGGAAAAGGACGTGGCAATCTAGAAATACAGAACCAGAGGAAAGGTCCTGGATTACTGTCCATTCCCAGCTACTAAAGCAGCATCACATAATTCCTTTCATGCAATGATCTAAGCTTCTTCTCAAAAACTAATTGCAAAGAAAGTTTAGGTTTTTATCCCCACTTTCCTGTCACATAACTCACACATAAAGCTGCCCTACCACCTTGTGGTTTAACCCAGACAGGCAGCTCAGCACCACACAGCTGCTCGCTCGCTCCCTGCCCCGCAGTGCAATGGGGAAGACAATCGGAAAAGTGCAAGAACTCGTGGGTTGAGTTAAAGGCAGTTTAATAGGCAAAGCAAAAGCCGCGTGTGCAAGCAAAGCAGAACAAGGAATTCACTCACTGCTTCCCATCAGCAGGCAGATATTTAGCCACCTGCATGAAACCAGGGCTCCATCATGCCTAACAATTAGTTAGGAAGACAAATGCTGCAACTCCAAATGTCCCCCCCTCTGCCTCCTCTCTCCCCAGCTTTTATTGCTGAGCACAAGGTTATACGGTGTGGGATATCCCCCTGGTCAGTCGGGGTCACCTGTCCCAGCTGTGTCCCCTCCCAGCTGCTGGCAAGGCAGCGTGAGAAGCAGAGAGGCCTTGCTGCTGTGTAAGCACTGCTCAGCAACAGCTCGCACGTGCCTGTGTTACCAAGTTTTCATCACGAATCCAAAACACAGCACCATACAAGCTACTGTGAAGAAAATTAACTCTACCCCAGCCAAAACCAATACACACTTTTACCTTTATTTCCTGACTACTACCCATGGCTGAATATCTACAGCTTCCATTAGGAATCAGCCTTTCATGCTGTAACATCAAGTCTCTGAGGACAGGTATTTCTGAGTAGATTGCTACCCCCAAAAAAGTAAGAGGAATTATCATAAGCATGACCTGCCCTTTGCCAAAGAAAAAGACCTTTGGATCATTAATGTAAGTACTTCTGAGAATTCAAAGCAGACAGACACGTGGTGAATTTGCAGCCCCAAATAAGGCACCTGCATTCTCCGGAACGGTTTGAGTCTCAGGCTGCAAACATGATCCCAGGCTCCAAAACCTGGAAGAGAAAAAAGACACACGTGCATGGAGATACAGGTTCACACGTGACACTGAGACCCAAACAAAGCTGAAGCTCACTCCACGCTCTCCTCCTCCCGCCCTGACTATCAGTGCCCAGACTCTGCTTGCACCATCCCTAGACAGGGCCAGGTCTGCCTGAATACTTTCACAGCTCCAGCATCCCGTTATTTTATTGTTAACACAAGCCAGTAGAAAAGAAACAAGAGTTTCCCATGAACAGTGTGACCGAACAGTCACTGTCCCATCACTGAGTAATGACACAGGCACGGAAACACACGGCCGTCATTCTTCGGTACATTTCTTTCTCCATAAGGAATCAAGGCTCAAATCTCCTTTAAAAAAAAACCTCATCAGAAGCAAGTTACTAGACTACAGAACACCAGGCACGTGCTTCTTTTGTGAACAGAACATTCCAGGTGCTGTAGAAAGCACTTTACAACCTTTCAGTAGCCTAGTGTCGCCAACATTTATATAACAAATCAGACCAAGATACCAGAACACAGATCCCTCTTGTCAAGACAAGCCCGATTCAATCACCACAATTCCACACACAGAATACTGAGACAAAGGCAAATAATTCCACTGTGTTTAGGGTGAAGGCAGCACATGCTCCAAGGGGTTTTAAACAAAATAAAACCAGGTCAAATATTCTGTTACAAATGCAAAGAACAGAAACTGCACTTACTGCTCAGGAGGGTTGCTGATCCCGGGGAGATGGAACTGACCCTGTTACTGTAACTGTCTGGCAGGTGATCATACTCCTTCCTAGGACCAGCTTCCAGCAGAGCAATCTTCTTGTCATGGAAGTGGATATCATGCCCTAAAATAAGCAAATATATGATTTGTTACAAAAATCTCATTTCTTATTTCCGTATCAGTAACACCTATGCAGTTTTGTAACACGATAGAGCAGGTGCAAACCTTTAATGAAGAAACTCATTTACAATACAGGTTCTGACCAGACAGGTAAACTTTTGTATTTTAAAGCTTTATGACTACAATCCTGTTACCGAGATGGACAACACTTCTGCAGTTAAAGCAAGGATTAAATGTTTTCTTTTTGGACAAAGTTTATGTTTCTGTACAAATTTGTGCCTATTTTGTTATGACAGTTCATTACTGAAGTATTAATGAGTGAAATCTGCAATGTTTACTCCACGCACAGAACACAATTTTCAGAGCTTAAACATAAATTGACCTGTTAGAATAAGAGATCAAAACAAAACTTCTGTGATACTTAGCAGCTACATTTACGTTTTCTTTACCCTTACGCTCTGACAGTGGAACAGCACAGGCAGCTTCAACTGTAACTTTCAGTTAAAGAGAACTGAAAAAATAATGAAGAGATGACTCAAGCAAAGAGTAAATCAGACAACAGCTGAGTTAGCCACGCTTGTTCCATCTGACAGCTACGGCTGCAGAAGGTACCGAGACCAGAAATAGCATCCTTGTAACAACACCCAGAGTTTACTGCTGCAGCCGTCCCAGTGACAGCAGCACCCTGGACACACTTTCTATGTGATGCGTAACGGAACGTCACCTCTTGAAAGGTGCCAAACCTGCACGCTAGCCCGAGGTATCACTGCTGCAGGAGATCCTTGTGCTGCCTGAATTCCACTGTGGTCTTGTTTAACAATACAAGCAGAACAGCGATGAGTCTGCAAGACAAGCCCTTATACAAGCCCCTCTACTCTGCTCTTGTAAGGCCCCACCTGGAGTACTGCGTCCAGTTCTGGAGCCCCCAACATAAGAAAGACATGGACCAGTTAGAACAAGTCCAGAGAAGGGCCACGAGGATGATCCAAGGGCTGGAGCACCTCTCCTATGAGGGCAGGCTGAGAGAGTTGGGGCTGTTCAGCCTGGAAAAGAGAAGGCTCTAGGGAGATCTTATAGCGGCTTCCAGTACCTGAAGGGGCCTACAGGAAGGCTGGGGAGGGACTTTTCATAAGGGCAACTAATGACAAAACAAGGGGAAATGGGTTTAAACTGAAGGAGGGGAGGTTTAGATTAGATATTAGGAAGAAGTTTTTCACTGTGAGGGTGGTCAGACACTGGCACAGGTTGCCCAGAGAAGCTGTGGATGCCCCCTCCCTGGAAGTGTTCAAGGCCAGGTTGGATGAGACTTTGAGCAACCTGGTCTAGTGGAAGGTGTCCCTGCTGATGGCAGGGGGGTTGGAACTGGATGATCTTTAAGGTCCCTTCCACCCCAAACCATTCTGTGATTCTATGATACTTGCAAAGCACTTATTGCTTAGGATTTCTGCTCTTTGGCTCTTCTTTGCGCTCTTTTATTTATGCTTCTGTCACTGCTGCACCCTTCTGAATCAACGTTGCAAATAAAGCAGCAGCCAGTACTCTCGGGATCTCTAATGACACAAGCCAAGCACACAAATCCACTTTAACTTGGTACTCCAGCGTTTAAAGTACAGGGTTAGAGAATGAAACTTGGAATCAGAGAAGCATTTTCAGCTGTAGCTGAAATTACCCATCAGTGACTTCAGGGTGACCATGTCTGACAGCAACGCTACAAGGAGCATATAGAATTCAAAGGAATGGCTACGCTAACGTATATATGTACATGTAAATAGGATGGGGCTCACTGTAATGATCTGTTAACCCAACAGCTTTTAGAAAAGCCCCCGATACTCCACACACTGACAGGGGGGAGGAGGAGGAGGAGGAGGATGGGGAGGTGGGGGAGGACACCTGTGACTCCACCCGGAGCGGGAGAGAA